CTGATTCTGTGAATCAAGGCCAGTGGAACTGTTGTATGACAGAAGGACTGAGTGAGTCCTTCACCATTACCTAAGTAGCACTTGCTTGACAAGGGGCATGGGTTACAAAACCCAGTGAATTGAGAGAGGATGGGGACAGGTATTTGTACCTGATGGTATGGGCCCCCTCTGAGGGTCCGAAACACCAATTGCACAACCTCCTCTCTCCACTGTTGAATGTCAGAGCTAATTTTGATTCCTTTAGGAGTCTAGTTACAGGCTGCTGAGCTGAATTCACTTTGGGCCAATGGTGCACCAGCACCCCTATACTATGAGCTGAAATCGCTAAGAGCTGAAATCACAAAAGAGCTGATGTTATTAAGAGCTGAGATCACTGAGGCTATGTTAACTAGTGGGGGAGCCTGAAGCTATATTGCTCAGCAGCTGGCAGAGCAATTTGTGGGGACGACTGGAGGAGCAGCGAGCGGCGTGGAGCCTTGCGGGGCCGGTTGGCGTGGCCCAAGGAACGGCGAGCAGAGCTGTGTGCGGGGACGGCTGGAATGGCTCACAGGTCGGTGAGCGGAGTGGAGCGGAGCAGTTCGTGGGATGGCAGGAAAGTGGACTGGCTCGTGGTAAAGGCTGCGGCGGAACCCCCACGGAGAAACAGACGGCTGGCCAGCCTCGGATCACGTAAGGTGCCCCTTAACACCCTGCGTGCCCCCCCCCTTTACTCTGGGGCTGCACTGACCAGGGGCAGAGACTTTGGGGGTTGTTGGACTTTTGGGACTTTGGGTGGTTGCTGGACCCCAGAGACTTTGGGGATGTTGGACTTTGGGGACTCTGGGTGATTTTTGGGTTGCTGGATTCAAGAACCAAAGGGAAAGGACACAGCCCAATTTGCTGGGGTGGGTTTTGCTCATGGTTTGTGTTATGAATCCTGTTTGTGGTGTTTTTCCAATTTTATGCTGATGTCGTTTACCTCATGTTATTAAACATTTTCTGCTACACTCAGACTCCGTGCTTGCGAGAGGGGAAGTATTGCCTCTCAGAGGTACCCAGGGGGGTGGTATGTAATTGTCCCAGGTCACTGGGTGGGGGCTCGAGCCGGTTTTGCATTGTGTTATTGAAACGGAACCCCTAGATACAGAACCCGGCCCTTGTTGCTGCCAACTTAGATGGGCAGAAGGGTTACACCAACATATTTTACAGAAAAGCCACATGGTCCTGAACATAATAATTACAAAGTAAATGAGTTCCTCAAAATGTTAAACTTACTAGGGGTGAAATCCTGGCATCTGTTGAACTCAGTGACAAATCTGCCATTGACTTATATGGGTCCAGAATTTACCCTTGTGTAAATATTCATTGATAATTGAATTCAGCTTCAGCTCATAGTTTTCCCCTAGTAACCTGATGTGTGTTATTCAGGGGAAAGCACATCTTCAGCAGTTCAAGAAACCAGGACGCAAAGTTGTAATGGTAAAATTCAATCTGATAAAAGATCAATGATGACAATGATATTCCACAGCCATTAAGACAGTATAGGTGGCACAGGTCTCTTTGCAGGATGTACCTACTAACTTTCCTCCCTGATATCCAGTTGTGGATAAAAGCAAAAAAATCAAGAATCCGCTAAAAAGACTAAGGTCCAAGGACAGCAGATCTGAAACAGAAACATCACAAAAGCAATCAAGTACAGAAGGAATGAGGATCTGGGACAACAAAAAAGAAAGATTGAAGGAACAAAGTTAAGACTGAGCCCACCCTCTTTTTAATGAGACACTAGTCAAAATAATATGGTTTATAAAATTAACTTTCTTTGCTCATGTTACTAACACCACACTTAAATATTACTACTGCAAGAATGTTTAAACACAAATGTATGGTTATTTCTATTGTTTGGCTACTTTGTGCACTTTTTGAAGCCTATACTATGAAAATGCAGTTTGTCAGTTTCACTTTCTGCTTCTGATACACCAGCATGCTGCTGCAACATACTATGTTGAAATCTAAATGGCAAATTTTATTGAACTATAAGTTACATAAAATGTTAAATGTTAGAACTCACAGTAATTATTAAAGAGCATATGGTAAAACTACACAACAGTTTAAGAAAGGAAGTGAAGAATACAGTAAATATCCAACTGAAACTGGGGGAGATTTAGGAAAGCTGAAAAGAATTACTTCAAAATTAATTTGTCCATTAACACACTTAGTCTCGGGAAAAGACTCATAGGATCTTTAATGACACATGTTGATCAGGACTGCATAGCACAGTATTTCCCAGCATCCTGCTGTGCATGTTCTTAGTACAGGAGCTTGATTTTGTAGTTCTTAAGCAGGCAAAATTGCTTTTGAAATCGATAGGAATTCATAGGACTGCAGGAATGAGCCCTCAGATAGAAGTGTTATCTATGACATCATGAATATCATGTTATAAAGCTCTGAGGTTGTTCCGAGGATTCCCCATTCAAGCCTCAATCCCATCCAACCCTTCTCTGCTGGTGAGAAGTGACAGAATATTAGCACAGGGTCCTCTAATCATCCCATAAACTCTCAGCTCATTAAGCTTCTCTTTTCAGTTCCTACTCAACCGCTCTTATTTTTTGCACCATGCAATGTAATCTCCGCAGCACTGCTGATTACAAATGTATGGAAATCATTTCAATCAAAGGTATATTTTCCAATGCAGAAAATACTGCCGCTACATTGGGCACTAGAGGGCAAAGTGAGATTATAGCTAAAATGCCACAGTAAAATCGTTCAGTGCCTTTAAAGCAGTAAGAATTGCAGGGGAATAGGAGGAAGTTTATTTCGCTTTACCTATTCCAGTCAATTTCCCTGTGCAGACAAGACCAAGAGTTTTAGAATTTAGCCTGTTGTGCCATCATGTTTTCTAAAATCTCTAAATTTTAGGTACAATCCTGCAAACCCTTATGCCTGTGATTAACCTTACACACCTGAGTTACCCCGTTGACAATAACAGAACTACTTACAGGCATAAGCATTCGCAGCTTGGGCACACCGATAGTGGGTGCCATAAGACTTCAACGGGGAGGCTCCCTAGATCAGGGGTTCTCAAACTAGGGGTCATGAGTTGTCAGCCTCCAGCACAAACTCCACTTTGCCTCCAGCATTTATAATAGTGTTAAATATATTTTAAAAGTGTTTTTAATTTATAAGGGGGGAGGGTCACACTCAGTGGCTTGCAAGGGGTCACTAGTACAAAAGTTTGAGAACCACTGCCCTAGATTAACTTTCACCCCAGTAAGGAGTCAGCAATTTCCTCATAGATGTGGGGGGCGGGGGGAGACTGTGTGTATGTATGTGTGAGAGAGAAATTTCTGGCACCCCAGAGAAGCAGTGCAAAGGCTTGGGGGGACTCCGGGGTGTTGGAGAAGCTGAGGGAAGAGGAAGTAATTGTTGGGAAAGTACTTGGGAGTGAACCTGGGGGTTTGTTGAGTGTGGGTGAGAAGTCTGGAACAGTTTTTTTTGAGGGGGGGAGATTGTTGGGGAGCCTCCCTCATGCATACCCTGCCTGACCCCTAGCCTCTCCCATTTGGTCAGGCACATCTGCCCCTCGCCTCATGTGTCCCTACACCCCCCCCTACGCCCCTGTCTCCATATGGCCCTGCACCCCTCACTCCCATTCAGCCCAATGTTGTCACCCCACTAGCTCCCAGAGGTGCTGGGTTGCTGCAGCACCCACTGGCTTCAAGTGGTATCTATGGTACACAGGGTTTACAGTTTGGTTCAATGGCTCTCAGCACCCCAGGATACACATTGTTCCAGCCCCCTGCTAGCTCCTGTGCCCCAGCCTAGTCTTCCCCCACTAGCCCGTCTGAACCCCAGTGCGTGTGCCTCGCTCTGTCCGGCCCCATATCCCGGGTCTCCTCACCTGGCCCCCGGGGCAGTGCGCGGTGCCTCTGCCCCTCCCTCTGGTGGCTCCAGCCCCTAAGCCAGCGGCCCTCTCTTCGGGGGGCACAATGGGCACATCCGCCCCTGGTGGGGGAAAGGTGTAATTGCAGGAAACGCGCAAGAGCCTTGCTTGGTGCACGGAGAGGGCGGCATGGGGGAGTCACAGTGATCAAAGGAATAACGAAAGGGGGAAGTCTGGGAGCTCCCGTCATTCCTCGGTTTGCTCGAGGGACTGAATTTACATCGCGTAGGTCCAGCTGGTTAAAAAGAATCCAGCGTTTTGAAACCTTCTTAGGAGGTTAAGTATTCTGATAACCTCCTCAAAATACCCCAATGGGGGCGGTCACCATTTCTGGTGCGGATTTCTACCGCTAATTCAGCTAACCCTGTTGACAGCAAGACATCTTGGTACGAACACGTCCGGATGCAGGAGGCTCTTCTACATTAGGGCACCCGCTGGTTTAACTGAACTAGCCATAGCTGCGACGAGGAAGTCTCCTGGGTGCATTGCCCCAGAGTAAGACAAGCTTCAGAGCGAAAGCCTGGTGCTAAAGCCAAACCAAACCAAAAGGGGCTGCTGGAGGAACGCTGGGTGCTCACAGACCCAATGTAAGAGAGACAAGACAAATACCTTCTAATTCTGGATCGGCCGGAGACAGCCAAGAAGAACTAATAATAATCATGAAAAAGATAATGCAGAAAATGGCAAAAAGCAATAATCCAGAAATAATGCTGACGGTAAAATGCCTCCAAATTCCGGAAGCTCTCTAAAAGCAAGACCTCCTTAATGTCGCTGGAAATAGAGGTGCCCAATTGGTTTTTGAATGTCGACATAATACAACCAAAATGACCGTACACTGTACCGGGGGGTAATCACGTTGCGGCTTGTATGCGAACCAGAGCTCTAAAGAAGAATGCTTATTGGCCCTTGAAAAGCCTCTGGGGGTTGGGGGCGGGATGTAAAGACGTGTCCATTTAAGACCAACTCTGCTAGGCACGGTTTTGTGGGTTAGTTCCGCGCTGGCGCTGTGAGGAAAGCTCTCCACTAAGCATTAACGCTGTACACATGTGGACGCTGGATTTCCTTCCCCAAAACGCTGCATTTTACTTTGTTTCCGGGTGCAATTTAAGACTATAAAGGGAGTGGGTCTTCAAGAGCTCAGAGATCACCTTTCTTCTTCCTACGTGTTACTGTGATAGCAGAGATCATCAGACATGTGAGCTAAGAACCTCCGGGTTTAATTGCGGGGGGGAGGAGAGGGGGCTGCAGCAAGGGGCTCTTGCAGCGGGGACTGCAAAGCCTATGTAGAATTCAATTCGTGCCTTAGTTGGCTGGGACCTGAATGCATTGACCTTCGGGCTATGCTGCAAGGCTAATTTGTGTGCTCAGGCTGACATTCTTAAAACCTGAGTGCCTAAAGTTAGGCTCCTAGATCCATATTTAAACGTAAAAGTTAATAAATAAAAGTAACCTGAATTTTTAGGGGCGCGGAATACGCTCCATTCCTATTGACGATTTATATTTGTAGGTGCTCAGCAGTTCTGAAAAATCAGGCTCCTTTCCTAAATACGGATTTTTTGAGTCCTAATTTCAGGTTGGAAAGGTGGTGTTCCTCCCCTCCTCCCTCCCTTTTCTGATTGGAAGATATTAGTGGTTGCTTGAATAGGGGCAATAAAAGGAGGTAGTGGGTTATTGGGTAAGATTTGGAAAGTTTATTTTTAGGTCTCTCTCTTTTTTGGGGGGTGGTGGTGGCTGTTTACTATGGGATATTTACACACGAGCAGAGTGGGAGATGGAACCATTTTAGAAAACAAACAAAAAAACCTGTTCCTACTGGATTTAACACTTAATTGGCAAAATAATTAGCAACCTCAATCCTCTAACACAATAAAGGTTTTGAGTTCCAGAAGGGCTGAGCACTTGTAGCTACCACTGAAGTCAGTGAGGTGGTTGGTTGATAAATATCCTGTGGTGGGAGAGGATAATGTTTCAGGGGCAATTTATTCAAAACATCCATATGCCTAAACAATGAATGGAGCATAGTTTTTGCATTTATGTGTCAGATAGTGAGAATCAAAGTGCAATCTATGGACCAGATCACCCTCTCCTATTAAAAGAGCCACAGGATATGGTAAACACGCAGCATCTCTGAAAAATGAGGCCATACATTTTCATTATTGGTGTCATTAAATTCACCTTCCTCTTATCCTCTGTCTTTGTTAAATGTGTGTGTGTGTGGTTTTTTTGTTTTTTTTTTTAATTCAGAAATGTTTTCTTCATACTTCAAATTACTTAAGAAAATCCAGCCTTGCTTCTGAGTCATTTGCTTTTGCTCTTACTATCAGCTGTAGTCCTAAGGTTTCTTATCTTGGCAGGCCAGAGGCTGAGTAGCTTCCTTTGGACTATAGCTGGAATACTGTCTGTTTATAGTTTGTCTTCCTTGATAAGAAATATCTGGAAAACTTTATTTGTATAAAACAAAAATGTTTCCTCAACTGCTAAAAATACCTAAAATAATTTCCAGTGGTTCACTGTAAAAATAATACCTTACACCTTGTTTTGTATTATTTGCTTTCCTAACACACAATGTTTTCCATTTAGCCATCTTCCCCCATTGGATACAGCCCTGAACTCCTTATCTGGACAAAAATCCCACTGGCTCTTTTGCAGATATTTTTATTATTATTTGGAATATCTTAAACTTTTACTGCTCCATCATAGAATTTACACCATTGCCTTAGTGATGAGAATGTGTCCTGTTGCAGCATCATGCACACATTCAAAGTGGGTTTGCTGTGCTTTTCTAGGCATCAGCTGGGAAGCAAAAGAGCCCTGGTAAGAGTTAATGAATTAAAAAATAATAATAATTAAAGGATATTATTTAAAGGGTCCTCTGTTAGATATTGGATTTTTTTTAAAAAAGCTCCATTTTTTTAAAAAACCAAATTGACATTTTCCCATTAATTGATTTTAAAAATGAACTGTAGAAATTTATATTAGATTCAGCTTCTTAAACAGCAATATAAACAATAATTTACAGTGGTCAACTCAAATGATAGCATTTCTTTACTACATCATAAACTCAAGTTACTTCTGTGCAGCTCTGATTTTTATAAATTATAAATGGATTAAGATCCATTATTTGAAAAAAAATGAGCTTTTATTCTATGGTAGCAGTACTTGGCTGTATGGTGTTAATTTCGTGATTAATATCCTGTGGTCTGAGGTGATAAAGTTTCCCCAAATCCACATATGCCTACACAATGAATAAAACCGTGTTTGCATTTATGTGTCAGAGGGTGAGTACCAAAGTGCAATGTATAGGTCAAATCCCCTCCTCACATAAAAAGAGCTACAGGAGAGGGTAGTTAAGGTTAACTCCATGAGGTTCCCCTCAGAGAGTTTTCTCTAGATCATTCCTTTGAGGAGTTTAGCTCCCAAAATCTCTTCACTGGCTTCAGGTCCCCTGAACTTCCTCTAGCTTTCTGGCAGCTCTGCTCCACCTGAGCTGTACAGTCAAGGACGCTTCCATCAGTCACCACTTCTCTTCTCAGGGGCTCGTTCACCTGCACATCTACCAATGTGATATGTGCCAGCAATGCCCCTCTGCCATGTACATTGGCCAAACCGGACAGTCTCTACGCAAAAGAATAAATGGACACAAATCTGACTTCCGGAATCCTAACATTCAAAAACCAGTAGGAGAACACTTCAACCTCTCTGGCCACTCAGTAACAGACTGAAAGGTGGCAATTTTGCAACAGAAAAGCTTCAAAGACAGACTCCAAGGAGAAACTGCTGAACTTGAATTAATATGCAAATTAGACACCATCAACTTAGGCTTGAATAGAGACTGGGAATGGCTGAGCCATTACACACATTGAATCTATTTCCCCATGTTAAGTATTCTCACACCTCTTGTCAAACTGTCTGTAATGGGCTATCTTGATTATCACTACAAAAGTTTTTTTCTTTTAATTAATTAGCCTCTTAGAGTTGGTAGGGCAACTCCCACCTTTTCATGTTCTCTGTATGTGTGTATATATATCTCCTTACTATATGTTCCATTCTATGCATCCGATGAAGTGGGCTGTAGCCCACGAAAGCTTATGCTCAAATAAAATTGTTATTTTCTAAGGTGCCAAAAGTACTCCTGTTCTTTTTGCGGATACAGACTAACACGGCTGCTACTCTGAAACACTTCTCTTCTGATAGTCTTTTTATTTCACATGGACATGAATAAACACACATTTCTAGACGTAAGTGTTGCCCCTTTCACCCAGGTGGTTAGGCTTGCAGGGTTGTTTCCATTAGGATAAGAAATGGATTATGAGTTAGGGATGTTCTCAGTGTAACTTTCATTATTTACAAAAAAATGAACACAGTAGAAACATAACAGCAGGCAGTTCCTTTGCTCAGAAATCCTCACAATCGCTGCTTTAGTGAGCTCTTTGCTGTAGAAGCTCTGTGTCTCTGCTTCTTCTCACAGTCATGCTCACTTCTTCTTCTCCTGGCTTTCCTCTGCCTCAAATATAGCACGCAAACCAATAGCATAGCCCCTGCTTTTGCAACCAGGGAAACAGCTCAGTCCACATGGTTTAGCTCTGACCTGAAATATAGAGTATTTCCTAGGGCAGTAGCGCCCCCCTCCCTTTTTTTTTTTTTTCGACTCCTATTGAGCCTGCAAGAGAGCAGTTGGCACATCCATTGGCTTTAATGAGGTCTATAATTGTCTTTGGATCCAAGATTCCCTCTATGGCAGCTATTAGCACCTTTCAGCCCAGCATAAAGAATCAAAAAGTTTGCTTTAAGATGGTGAATATTTTAATTTAGGGCCAGATCCTGGAGAGTGTTGAGAGTCTCCCTGCCCTGGTCAGAAGTCAATGAGAGTTGAAGGCGCATAGGACTTGGCGAGTGGCACTCAGCACCTTGCCAGACTGGGCTCTTAATGTTTAGGGCTAGACTGTGAGCCTCTTGCCCACACTGGTAAGCAATTATTCAGATAAGTAGTTCCACAGAAATCAAGAGGGACTATTCATGTAACTGCTCACTACTGTAAGTATGAGACTCACAATCTGGCCCATAGTAATTTGTTTTGCCCTGACTTATGATAACCATGTTTTTAGACTCCAGACACCAAGCCACAAAACTCAGATAACCTCTCTGCAGAAGCAGAGAAGACCAGAGCAAGAGAAACCTTTTAAATATTCCAATTAACTTTTTCTATTACCTGTTCCTCTATATCAATTTTATCTTTCTTAGAACAATGTCTGGTTGAAATAATCACTCTCACAAAGATTCAAAGAATAAGGCCCCCAAATAGAAGGTATTTAAGATTCAAAAGTACTTGTCAAATAAAAGTTTGGAAAGAGTCTATTTTTAAACAACTACTTTGCTCACAGCTCTTAGGCTTTAGGGATGTGGTTATTGTTTGTGCAGTGCATTAAAAACCACAACATAGAGATCCATGTCTCTTCCTTTTGGGCTAGACCAGAGGTGGGTAAACTATGGCCCGCGGGACCCTCCTGCCTGGTCCCTGAGCTCCTGGCCCGGGAGGCTAGCCCCCTGCCCCTCCCCCGCAGCCTCCGCTCGCTCCGCCGCCGGCGCAATGCTCCGGGCAGCGGGGCTGCAAGCTCCTGGGGCAGCGCAGCTGCAGAGCCCGGCCTGACCCGGTGCTCTGTGCTGCGCGGCAGAGTGGCTGGCTCCAGCCGGGCAGTGTGGCTGTAGCGCCACCGGTGCTCCAGGCAGTGCGGTAAGGGGGCAGAGAGCAGGGGGGATTGGATAGAGAGCAGGGAAGTTTGGGGTGGTGGTCAGGGGGTGTGGGTATGGATAGGGGTTGGGGGGGGAAGAGGGGGTTGAATGGGAGCAGGGGTCCCTGGGGGCAGTCAGGAATGAGAGGAGGGTTTGGATGGGGCAGCGGGGGGCAGTCAGGGTCAGGAGTTCCGTGGGCTGTCAGGGGACAGGGAACAGGGGGGTTGGATGGGGCAGGAGTCCCGGGGGGGGCATCAGGGGGCAAGAAGCAGGAGGGGTTGGATGGGGTTGGGGTGGGGTCAGGCCACGCCTGGCTGTCTGGGGAGGCACAGCCTCCACTAACCAGCCCTCCATACAATTTTGGAAACCCAATGTGGCCCTCAGGCCAAAAAGTTTGCCTGCCCCTGGGCTACTGTAACCTTACAACTTTTCCTGAGTGAGGGAGAATGCACAGCTGCATGGCTCCAGGAGCAGCCAAGAGAATGAGTCACAATTCCTCTCCTGCCGTGGGGAGCAGCTAAGTTACTTCACCGCTTTTTATCCACCAGCTCACTCTTTGCTGTGCAGCCAGCCAGCTACTCTCACTGGGGATGGGAGAAATGAGCCATGGTTCCTCCCACTCTCCACCCTTCACTTCCTCATTATCTACTCTGTGGGCAATGGCAAGGGAGTAGCTGTGCTCTCTTCCCCCACATTTTGAGTCACAATGTCACTGAATATCCTCTTGCTCTTGTACTATGAGGCAGGGGAACAGACGTTCCTTCCTTACCGTCTGTAGGCCATTAATTATTTCGTATATTTTGATCACGTTTCCCCTCTGATTTATCTCCTCAGTTTCAGTCTTTACAATCTCTCTACAGCTGTGAGTATTTCCAGGCCCCAAACACTCCTGTTACCTCTTGCTTATCTGGCTCTAATTTTGCAATATTTATAAGTGGATAAATCAGCTAAAACGTTAGAAAAATACAGGGTAAAGCATTGTAATAAGCTACAGGTTAAATTATATCAAACAATGAAATATGGGTAGCATAACTTCTGCAATGCGTCTGGATGGCCTCTAAAGTGATAAGTAAAATATAGTCTAATGGGACACACATTCATTCCCTTAATGTACTCCATCAGTGACAGTGTAGATTGCTTTGTCCTGTGTCTCATGTGTATTCTTGCTACTGACAATACTACTTTGATATATTTTGTCATGTCAAGTTATTTAATATATTCTAAATTATTTAAAATGCAAACATCTGGATTAAATAAATCAAACTCGCACCCAGCAAATCTTGTATATACCGGATCGCATCTGACCAAACATTTGCACATTTCCAAACTATAGGCATAAAAAGTGCAGTCTCCATTTCCAGCAAAGTAACAGAAACAGCATTATGTAGCATATTTATTTGCTTTGGAGTCACTTAGAGTCTGCTGAAAATTAAATACCATCATGTTCTCTTCTATTTATGGATACTTGTTTAACTGTCTTCTGTCTTCTCCAGAATAATGTGCATTTAATTTTGCATGCTTACTCTCAACTGGCCTTTGAAACCATCTCTTCTGACTAACCGCAAAAACTAGTGGAACTGAGTCCAGAGGAACTATTTGTAATAAGGCAAGAAACATGCCTGAGCTGGTGCCTGTAGAAGAATGATAAAACGAACGAGGATCCCTTGAATTAGTGGTTCCTTCCTTTTTACTAGGAAAGTGTCTCCTTTGCTGTAGTGCTGCTTTCAGTGACGCTGGGGGGAGAAAGGAGGAGGGGTAACCTCCTAGAAAACCGCTGTTGCAGCTGTGACCAGAGAGGGAGAGAGACAGACACAGGAGCGACCCATCTCCGCACCAACTAGTAACTCTTGAGCAAAGGTAAAAAACAAGCTATTCAACCCGTGCAACTGCAGAGAAGTGGGGGAGGGATATGTGTGCAGAAGGAAACATGCTTTTTGTGCTGGTTTTCAGTTTTGTCCTTTTTTCCCCCCTCCCATCCTGAGCTGTAAAGCTTGTGTGGGGGGGAAAGGGGGGGTGTTAAACTAGGAGCTCAGACCACTATGACAAAGGAAACCAGGGCAGCAGAGGGGGTTTTCTACCAGCTTCTCATTTTTTATTTTTTTAAAAACCCCTCGCTCTTCAGTTTCCAGTGTCTATTTCATTAGGTAGCAAGTGTTCCCTTGGGGGCGGTGTGGAACTGTATAGCTACTAACAGGGGGTACTGTTTAGCTCTTCAAGCTGTTCTGGGAGATTCCTCCCTTGGAGGAGGAAGTGACCCTGGCCGCAGTCTGTGCCCACACCACACCTACCCAGGTTGTCATGATCTCTGTCCTTTGGATGTACTATTTAGTATCATAACAGAGAGAAGCCTTAAGAGGGTATGGTGGAGGTTTACAAGCCCACTGTCAAATGCAGACACCCAGGTATTAATGGTGACAGTCCCCACAGAAACACAATCTTATTAAATAATAAAAAGAGTAGTAGTAATATGTAGTTCTGTAATCATCCTATTCCTGAAAAATATCTGACTTTTCCAACTAAAGCTATAATGCTGTTACAATCTCATATTCTCGGCTGGACAACTAAAGCATAAGCAGGTATATGCTATCTGCCTGTATATTTTAGGAGGAAATAGGACACCCCCATTTTGCAAGTTATCATGCTGAGGGAAAACAGAGATCCAATATCTAATGCAGTCTCTCACTTTTCCAGACCTGTGGGTGTGCAAGAAAAAGCAAAGTTCTTCTTCTGAACATGTTGGGATCCACCACTGGGTCACAGCATCATAGAGGTTTCAATGTATTTAGGCAAGTTAATAATTATAACTTTATAAAAATTACAACTAAAGCACTGTCCATAATAAACTCAGGTGGCTGGATTTGTTTGCAGTGATGCATATCACTCCGTCTCTCCATTCAATTCTCAAAACAGGCAGGGTATTGAAATGCATAATATTCCTATAGAACCTTTCATCTGAGGATTTTAAAAGCACTTGACACTATTAAGGGATGTTTTCTTAGATCACCCCTGAGAAGTATGTCTCCCGCATTTTACAGATGGTGAAACAAAGGCACAGTGAGTCTGTGTGACAGCTGTAGGAATAGAACAGCTATCTCCAGACATCCCATCCTGTGCTTTATCCAGTAGGCCATGCTCTATCTCTAAGAATGCTGCAGGATCAGGCAATCCAATGTAAATGTGGATGGATTGCTGCTGTGACCCCAAAAAAGCAGGAAATCTAATTAAAGCCAACCACCTTTGACATTGACCCTTTAAGTGGAAACAGATGACAGTGGAGTTTTGCATCAGACCTGTGCAATAGGTTCCCTCTCAGAACATTTCTTTTGCTCCTCAGACATAAAAGATGCTGCAACTCACATATAGGAAATATTGTAGCAAAACAATAAAACTTTCTACTTTATTATTTTTCATTACATTTAAATCATCTTTCTTCCTCAACAGCTTTCCCCTCTTCCCTCAAAGGCCCTGCATGGTAGGGACCTTCCATGGGTGAAGAGGGCTGGATAAGATTCCTCTTGGAGCTCCTCAAAGACACTTCTTGTTTAGTGCCAGAAGTCCATGTGGAATGAAGAAAAGTACTCCCAACAAACAGCCTAAATGTGCTACTTACACAATGTTCTTAGCCACTGTCAGCCTGGTGTATGAAAGCCCCAGAGTCCAATGTGGTCCCTCATAAGACTGTGTGGAATGCCATCCTCCAGGTCAACCCTTCACTTAAATAATTTTAAGCTCTTTTAATTTTGGGTGCTGCAGTTAGTGACTAACATTGTGTATTGATGCCAGTTACAACATAGTCCCTAACACACTTACACTCCTCATCAGGATGAGTTTTAAAACAAAATGACAAGTATATTGGCCAAACATTGGAGAACATTGGTACATAGTATTTATAAACATCCTCTTGGTTACCATTTGTTCTCTCATAAGTGGTTTAAGAGTTCACAGGATTTGCAGCCAACATTATCCAGCTATTTGGCTGATGAAAGATTCAGAGGAATACCCCAAAATTCTTGGAATAGCTTCAAACTATATTGAGGACAAGGAGACAAATGCTACAACTTGTACATATCAGAGAGAGAATATATGAATTACAAAGGATAGTACCTGGGCTTTGCACTGTGTTTATATCATTAAACTGTGGTGATTGTGACTAAGTAATGGAGGATCTTACCAGAACCTCTCAAAATATCTAACAACTTGTTCATACTTTTCCTATTGTTATAATATACGGATCCAGTTACTAGTTATTAATGGTACTTGACAGAGCAATGTTCATTTTCTGTTGTAACTTATTATTTTTCCTTTGTAGGGATTTTTTTTTTTTAGTGCAGTAAGCTGCACAACAGAGAGTATGTCAGCCACTATTAAATCTGTAGGTTTTTAGAGCGACATCTATACATCCCTGTTGGCTTCATTTCTATTAAACTGTATAGGACTTTTCCATAAGGCGTTTGTATGAATGTATGTGTTATAGCCCCCATTGTCATAACACTGGAGCACCTCAGAGTACTGGAAAATAGAAATAACATCAATTTCCTTCCTTCCTGGCTTGTAGAAAATAGCTTGATTGGTTGTTATGTGTGAGAGAGGAAGACAGACATTACAAAGGGAAAGTCATGTCAAGGAGATGAGTTTGCATTTAATTCTGATTTAGGTCATTCAGTGTCTGGGTCATCCTTAGACCTTGCAGGAGCAAATTCCACAGTCTAGGTCTAGGTCCAGCTCCTGTGAGAGTTTGGTCTCCCATGCTCACAAAACTGCCACTGTTGGTTGACATTTACATGCTTTCAGTAAAACATAACCATTGTGGAAGGCCCTGGTTGCCTGGAAGATCTCTTCTCCAATCGGAGAAGCTTTCCCCTCTTCCCTCAAAGGCCCTGCATGGTAGGGACCTTCCATGGGTGAAGGTCCAATCGGAGAAGAGATCTTCCAGGCAACCAGGGCCAATCCCATGTATATCAGGAGGGAGAGCCTGAGTTGGATTCCGTAGTCAGTGGGCAAATAGCACGGAGAGCAGGACATTGGAATGATATTTTCATGTTGGCCTGTTGGGCTGATTCATTGTATACCAGTTGGAGCTTTATTCAGGCTGTGAGGGTTAATTCCTAGATATGAGTTGCAATAATCAAGCCTGGAGGACACGAAAAGTTTTTCACCATGCCAGATAATGGATGGTCCAGTAGTTAGTGCACTAGCTTAGGATGGGGGAGACCTACTTTAAGACCCTGCTCTACCATGGACTGTGTGACACCTTAGGTAAATATCAAGGCTAGGTCTACACTTGCACTTTTTGCTGATAACCCTTTTGTTGGTCAAGGGTGTGAAAAAAATACAAGTTTCACTGAAAAAAGTGTGGACAGTGCTATGTTGGTGGGAGATGCTCTCCCGCCAACATAACTACTGCCACTCCTGGGGGTGGTTTAATTATGCTGGCAGGAGAGCTCTCTCCCGCCGGCATAGAGAGGCTACATGGGAGACCTTACAGCGGCACAGCTGCAGTGTAGACAGAGCCTTAATCTCTCAATTCCCCCTATGTAAAATGGGAATCAAAGAATTTCCCTACCTCTCTAGGGTGCTGTGAGGATAAATACATGAAAGATTGTGAGGCACTCAGATACAGAAGTGATGGCAGCTTTAAAAGCACCTTAGATTGATTTATGTAAGTCCACAAGGAAGAAGCATGATTTTCTGGCTATTGACATAGACACACTTATTTAAAGTTTCAGCTCCTTTTCCTGGCAGTGGTAGACATATTCTGAGTGGGGGGTATAATTTGCTTTGGGACACTGGCACAAATTGTAACATAATACAAAGTAATGCATTTTGGGTTTCCTTATTTACTTTACTTTTCCTGCCTTTACAGCTGTACAATGAACACTTATCTCTTCATCTACTATTTAATCCAATTCTGTGGACATTCCTGGATATTTACAAATATGATCATCAGGTTCTTGTCATTTGGGAAAGGTCAGACTCTTCTTCATTTTACATTGCTTTTATCATTTTTACTTTAAAATCCCTAAACTGGACATAACAAACAACTTTGTAGGACTCTCTTTGTGTTACTATGTCAAGTTATAATTTCATAAATTGATAGAATACTGCATCGTTCAATGCAGATGAGCATTGGATTGGTTGAACAAAACAATACCAATACATCTACACTATTTTTATAGTTCTTGCTGCTATGCTTCTTTTTCTGCTAAGAACCATTAATATTCCACTGTATTTGATCTGACTTACTGTAATATTTTGGAAGATCAGAGCTATATTTGGCCCTATGTTGACTGAAGTTCTGGGATATAATAGAAAATGACTGACTTCAGAGTTAAAAATAAATGACAGATGGTGGGAATACAAAGGACAATGGTTTACACAAACTATAAAGTCCAGGTAGCAGATATTTTATGAAACATCAAACCGTCCTCTATTGCAGAGGAATGTTTCTGAAACCAAATATCCAGGTCCTGCACAGATTTATTCAGTGCTCATTACAGCCACTTAACTAAAAAAGGTATGTCAGATGTCGACTATTCCATGCCCTCCTTAGCTTCCCCACTATGTATACTGCTCTCCAGACATCCTTTCTGTGGCTTCTCTGTTTGTTTCAAAAGGTTGGTGGCATGTGAACTTTACTTTTTGACACCTCGGTGGTCATATCTGAGGCTTGGCATGGAAAGAGTTCAGAGATTTAACTAATGGCACTGTTTTCTTCTCCCCTGCGGTTGTAGATTCTTTGGCCGATACCTTCTATTCTATAGGACTTGTAATGCGCCTTTGTCAGTCGTTGTCCATATTAGAGCTCCTGCACATTCTAGTTGGCATTGAAGAAAACCGTTTTCTCCCGAGGTTTTTACAGGTAAGTCAAGTTATACTGTACCAAAGAATCCCTGGCTCTTTCTTATTTGACATACAGATTTAACCTGAGCTGCAGTTGGTGCCCAGGAGATACTTACAGGACAGAATGCCCCAGTATAATTCCTCATGGAACTTCCAGCAACTCAAACTCACTTCCTTGCCCCTTCCTTAAAGTTAAGCGTATGCTCATCACCAGACCAGCATGTTGAGTATCAGAATCCCCAAATGTATAATGGAAAAGAGCAAAACAAACACAATGTAACCTACTGGGTGACCAGTAGAGGAGAACGAAGGGAAGATTCCCTCCATGGGCAACTGAGTGTGCTTTCTGGAGCAGTGTTTATAGTCAGTAGGAGACTGGCTAATCCTGAGGGGTTGAATTCTCCCCACTTCCCTCAGCTGCCAGTTCCTAACCAGTTTCCTAAGGCAGGAATGAGCAATGGGGAGGCACCACATGCCCAACCACATGTGGGGAGGAACGGCAACTGGAATGCAAAGTGGTGGCTGAGAAACCCTTCCCAGCAGTTCAACAGGCTTGTTGCGGTTTGCGGGTGCTCATTGAGGGGGAGGATCTCTTTTAGAGAGGAGCGGGCAGGGAGAGAGGAAAGGCTATGGCTTGGCAGGAAGAAAAGAGCAGTTCTATTCTTTGATTAAAGGTCAAAGTTAGCACAATCCAGACATGATATAATCAACTTACAAAAGGCTCCAGGCATTGTGACATTTTTATAGGGATTTAAGTGCATACCTTTTGTTGTGGGAGTAAAGAAAGAGAACAGACACGAACTATGTGCTCTAGCAGAGAACGAGAGAATTTTGTTACGTTCTCCTAGGAACTCTCTTGTTCTCTGCTTTGGAGTTAACTTAAACTTGAGAGTTTTTAGTCTTCCTCTCTAGGAACTGTAAGACCAAGAACTCTACACCTCCTATTCCTTAACAGGTGAATATTGAGCAGGATAGGAGGATTGAGGATATGAGCAGGTATTATTTGTATTATAGTTGCACTTAAGTTGTGTCTTCACTGCAGAGTAGTCCAGGCTCCTTCCTCCTGTCCATACAAAGAAACGGGTGGGGGGGAAAAAAAAAGCTCACTTGGTTATTTTCAACCCAGGCAAGCTGGCACAGTTGGGGGTATGGGTTAGAACCTGGGTTCTGCTTTCACTCAAGCTGGTAATCTACCCTCTTTGCAGCAAAGATACAGGCTAAATCACTCAAGTGTTGATAGTCCTTCAATGCCTTCCCACAATTTCCCTCATGTGCCCAGAAGGACAGACAAATTACTCCACAATTCACTCTGAAAGAACTAGAGTGGATCACAAAAGAACCATGGGATATGTTGCCAGAAGTCCTAGCACCACTCCTGGGTGAGTGCAGCACTGGTGAGGATGCAGTAACTCAAGTGTGGCTGTGTAGTGTGACCGCTCACACCTGAGTTAGGCTAAGCATGGGCACTGATTACCCAGGCTAACTCTGCATCTAAGGACATACACTTAGAGGCCTCCTCCAGGGCACTGTTCATGTATACAGACGTGGTCGCTGTGCCAAAGAGCTTACCGTATAAGATGAAAGACAAGTGTATATAACAGATGGATGGGGGAGCACAAGGTAACAGTTAATATGATTATGGTAAGTGTAACAAGCAGTGATCACAGCACACTGGTAGCCTGGCCATGGTGCATTGTTATGTAGACAGTACAGCCGAGGTGACTTTTAAGGAGAGATTTAAAGGATGAACATTGTGGCTCTACAATGTGCACAATCCCTCCCTGTACAATCTATTTTATCCTAAATGAATTTGATTTATTGCTGTCTTGCTCACTCTTAAAATGGTCAAATTATACTGTGGAAACATGAGTCGTGTACAGAACTGAGTGGATGCTGTGATGGGGTAGCCGTGAGAGAAAGGAAATTCCACTTTGATCTTCATGTACTGAATGAGGACGAATGAAAAACGAAACCATGCTGTTTACGTTTTGTGAAATGACTGCACGTGCTTCCTTCTCCCTTTTTAAGGACATGAAAAGACATGGTTTCTAGTGGAATTTTTTTTTTTTTTTTTTTTAAGAGTATCGGGGCAAATACTTTACCATAGTCAATTAGGGATTGTAAGAGCAGGCAGAAAGAGAGAGAACAAGAAGCTACATGCAAACCCTCATTTACACAAAAAGAAACAGAAGGTTTTTTTTCTTTTTCTTTAAACAAAAAAAAACAAAACCCCACCCTACTTCCTTCCCAATTTACTAAGGTACTAACCCTGCCAGTTGCTCTGTGTTGACAGATCCCTGAGAGCCTGTGAGGAACCCCATTGACTTAAGCAGGGTTGTTGCTGGCAGCTTTTTAGTTTAATAATTTCTGAAGGCTGCTCTGTTAATCCCTTTAAGCTTTGCTCACTGGCTGAGACTGGAGTTTGATTCACTCCCCTCTAAGAATTTACTTCCAGTATTAACATCTGAAGGGGAAGAAATGGCCAGAGAGCAAAGATTAAAATTTGTGGCATACTTTAAAGATTTTCAAGATGAGGAACTGGATCCATCAGGGAGGGCTGTGTTCTGTTTCTAGATGACTAGGAGCTGGCAATAGGAAATGTGTCCTTGCATGAATTTGAAGAATAAGCTGATATGTGAACATTTTGCTTTATCTGACAGATGTGGAAGAGCTTTGTTGTTTGTTAAAATTATAGTCTGTGCCCAGAGTTCCACGCAGGAACTGGTAAATAAGATATAGAAAAAGTGCTGTACAGACAACTTCATTATATTCTAGTTACGCAGTGTTCATTTCATAGTGGGTAGATGCTTTGCCCATTAAATTTAAATCTATAAGAGTTAACAGCACAGATTGTGTGGGTCAGTTGCTCAGCTGGTATGATGTCAGTGTAGCTATCTTGGTTTACACCAGCTGAGAATCTGTCCCTATATTTTAAACACTTTCAATGCAAGTATAATCCAGAGTGGATTAACGTCAGGCTTTTGGAAGGATTACACAGGCCTTCAGGATTTTTTTGGTACTGCTAAAGGCATGAATGCAGCCTGGGGACCTAAACTGAAGGAAAGAAAGGGGATACTGGACTTAGTGTAATATACACTAGAGTGTCATGGCATCCTTGTTGCTGAAGTGATGCAGAAATCAGAGATACACAAACCATACATATGAGTAGAAGGTCATTATTACTGTAATTATTTTCTTCTTGTCAGATAACTGAAAGAATCATCATTTTATTTGTTGTCATCACCAGTCAAGAAGAAGTTCAAGGGAAATATATTGTGTGCGTTTTATTTTTCCTTTGGAATTTACTGGATGTGGTCAGGTAAGAAATCAAAGTAACCTCATAAAAGTAAAGCAAGCACTTCTGTCAAATGGAACTATCCAAATACAGTGCGTGCCATCTGATTTTCATTATTTTGACCTCCGCAGAATCATAGTTTTACATTTTAAGCAAATGTTTGGATTTGATAAGGCACACTGTGGTTTCTAGAATAATTGGTATATCAGTTAGGCAAAACGAAACCCTATTGCCTTATTACAAGAGTAAGCCACTGCATTAAAGTTTTCTATTTCAAAAGATTTGACCGTTCTAACACCCATTTAGAACAGCAGCACAGCTATTTAAGGAAGGGCATTCCCTAACACTGTCTCTAATACCTTTGCTTTGCTGTATCAAAGCAGTATCTCCTTTTTACAGCTCATTTAGGCCACATCTACAATACAAGCTAGGGTGCGATTCCCTTGCTCATGTACACATACTCACAGTTGCTGTCCCTGGACTAGCGTGAGTAGAAACAGCAGCATAGCCACTGTAGCACAGGTAGCAGCAGCAGAGCTGCACCCACCAGTTTCAGGCAGGTTTATACTGTGCATGGGTCAGCCATGCCTCTGTTGCTGCCCATGCTACTGTGGATACACTACTATTTATACTCGTGCCAGATCAATGAGAGCTAGTGCAAATATGTGTATGTGAGCAGGGGGAAAAATCACACCCTAGCTTGTAGTATAGACAGCCTTAGACACAAGACTTGTAGTACAGTAACTCACAACTGCAGGCCATTCATTAAGATTTTGATTATTATGCATTAAGTGGAAAATTTCTAGTTCTTGCCCGTGACCTGAAAATTTAGGCTAGATAGAGCATATAAATGACACAGGGAGAAATCACAGTAGGCAAAGAGCATGGGAATAGAAGAAAGATTTACACAGTATGAAGTTACAGGGGACTTTCAATGGAAGGTGTGTTCTGAAGTCACTTACAATCCCACCCTAATAGTTTTTGCATTGGACATAAAACTCACACCGGTGCAGAAGGCCAGTGCAAGGAACTATGCGCTGCTCAAGTGCCACTTAAATGGCTGTGGATTTCCGTTTCTTTACTTAAATCAAGGAAGACCTGTAGGCTTAAGTGAGGCTTAAGCAGTGCATAGCCCTTGTGCCAGTCCTCTGCAAAGGGATGAATTTCACCTTGGATGCATTGTTAATTCCATTATTTGTACTGAGATGACCTTGATGTCAGGGTCAGCATTGGAGAGGTAGCTGAAAGTAGTATGGTATGAAGAGAGAGCTGGAGAAGGAAAATGAATGGTATATGGGACCAAGAAGATTTTTGTTTGGGTTCTAGGTGGATTTGTTTTAATTATTCATATGCCCCTCTCCCCCCATTTTTTTTTAATTTTTAAAGATTCAAAGGTAAAAATAAAACCCACTGAAAATGCACTCTTCAGCTAAAGCGAAAAAGGAAGAAAACATCAGCAATGAAAAGCTCCAGCATAGAATTGTCAATATGTAATTATTAACTGTAATCCTTAAAGACAACTATTATGGTCAAAATAATGGCAACCATAGAATGTGTACATGGATGAGACCTCATACATAATAGTATTGTCTCCAGCATAAATGTATGGTTCAAATGATAATGTAAAATGTTTCATATCTATGGAGAACATATCTTTGTCTAGTTCTTTCCTTCGTTTGTTTACCGTGTGTGTGTGTGTGTGTGTGTGTGTGTGTGTGTGTGTGTGTGTGTGTGTGTGT